AAGATGGCGGCCGAGATGGTGGTCAAAACACTGTTGCCCCATATCTTCATTTTCGGTTGGCTCAAAATATTGATTTAAACGCCGGCTTAGTGGTTTTCTCGGATGCTTATCATATTGAGATTCTCAGAAATTACTTACCCTGAGCCTGGAGTGCTTGGGTTTCAAAATGTCGACCAAGATGGTCGCCGAAACTTTATTGTTTACGTATTCTTGTATTTGGAGTGCAATATCTGTCAGATATACAGTTTTTAGTGGTTAAATATATACTTAGTACGTAGACAATTACTGTATCTGTTACATATTATGGCTTGAAAACTCCTTGATGGATAGAGAAATGGAGGGCAGATCCTCTAGTACTTGTGCATCTCGGAGGACCCAGTTGAGATGCCTAAGTAGTAAGGAATGCACAAATCTGCCCTCCATATCTCTATCAAAAAAGGAATTTTCAAGCAATACAAAGAAAAAGAGATAACTTTGATGAAGATGCACTCCTCAAGGTTATGCAGTCATTCCATTTGATGGACCCTACGGCTCCTAGCTCAAGTGTCTGCAACGTCGCCAGTAAAAACCGGGCAACCAAAGAAATTCAGACATCGCTCCTTGAAGCGAAGAAGCGCGGATCAGATCTGGTTATCAACTTTGTAAATCAGCGCCTTATTGTTCAAGAGTCGTCTGAAAAACCTGTCAAAAGTTTTTATGCTAAAATACCAAAAAAACTCTGCTTTAACTCTCTCAGACCTCTTCAAAGTTAAGGACACTAAAGATCGGAAAAAGGTTGTAGAGGCTGACAGGGATGTTTAACGTCGTCTAATTGTAGCTTTCGAAGCAGGCAGACAAATTGACTTGCCCTCCATTTTGAAGCACGAGCTTCTTCCAGTACCTTTATCGATAGCGGAAATGGATGGCACCCTCAGATCGTCTGAAAAAGCATCGATGATAAAACTCGTTGCTGAAGGCGTGGAATGCCCAAACTCCATTAACATTGATCGGAACACTTCGCAACTGATTATAGACGGTCAAGCTTTAGTAAACAGCATAGGAAAACCAGCAACTGCCACTACTTTCGGAGACCTCGCTGCAATATTTATTGACAGGGTGGTTCACCTTGGAAGACCGTATGCCAGAGTCGACATCCTTCTTGACCGGTATCGTCCCAAGTCAATCAAAAGTGGGACCCGCTGCAGACGGACCAGGGGAGCTGCTCCAGTCAGAAGGGACATCACAAGTGCAGTCATTCCACTGCCAAAAATTGGAAGAATTTTCCATCACTGGGGGACAACAAGGCAGCCCTAGCCCGCTTTCTCTCTCAGGAAGTTCTCCAACATGTCTTTAATGACATCGAAGTTGTTGTCTCCGGAGGACTCATACATGAAGAGGATGTGCGATCAACCAACCCCGAATCCGACGTCAGTTCCCTAGCAGCGACACATGAAGAGGCCGATACACGCGTTGTACTACATGCTGTCCACTCTGATGCTGACAACATCGTCATCATGGCCAGGAATACCGACATTTGTTTGCTGTTGATCCATCACTTTGACAAAATGGCCAGTTCTTAAGTGTGGATGATGAGTGGCACAGCGGAAGGAAGGAAGTATCTCCCAATACATGAGATTTGCAACATTCTCCCTAATGTTCAAAAGAAGAACATCTTGGCGTTCCACGCAGTTACGGGTTCCGACTCGACGTCTCACCATGCAACGATAACGAAGAAAACAGCGTGGAAAGTCTTCAATGGAACGGCCTGCCAACTTTTAGACAACTTAGGGCACTCTCCGCTAACTCCCTCATCAAAGGCGAATGCAGAGAAGAATCTCGTTCAGCTCTATAAGGTCGGTAGAGTTTTTTCAGGTGTTTCAGCAAGTCCAAATATCAATTATAACGTTTCTATTTCTCTGAACAGGTGACTAAAGATGTATCTAGCGGGGATGAAGCTAGATATAAACTTTTTGGTGTTGTGAAAAAGCCAGAAGCCTTACCTCCAACACGCGATGCGCTTCGGCTACACCTCCTAAGATGCCATTACCAGGTAAAGAAATGATGGGAAGCATACTGTGATCAGTATAACCAGTTGCTTTTCGGTAATTATAATAAAAAACATTTCAGGTGAACGTGTGGGAAAATGCTCATCATGCCCGACCGGAGGTGATGGATCCTGAGTCATATGGGTGGAGGCTTCACCAAGACGAGTACATTCCCATCCTTATGACACTTGAGCACGTTCCCAAAGCTTGCACGGATATTTTAACCTGTAATTGTTTGTCCCACTGCCTGACAACAATGTGCACGTGCAAGAAGAATGGACTGACTTGCACCAAGTTGTGCCACCGCTCTCACCAATGTCTTAACTCTTCAAATGGTTGATTAATTATCATTTTTGTATTATTGCCATCAGCTATCGAACTATCTTTTCATTATCTTTCCACAATCCTGCAATAAACAGTGTTTGAACTCTGGAATGGTCGTTTCCTTCACTTCCTTCGGCGGCCATCTTGAAGCCCATGCACTCGGTAAGTGAATTTCAAGCACTGCAAAGTACCAAGCATCCGGGAAAACCCCTAAGCAGATGTTTGAACCATTATTACAAGCCAACGGACATGGGAGATATGGGGCAACAGAGTTTTGACCACCATCTCGGCCGCCATCTTGGATACCGGACTTCCGGTCCAAATTTCGCTTTGGCAACAGGCAGATTCGTATTCAGCGGGGTCGAAATACCTTAAAAACGTTGTTTCCCCAATTGTTACATGAAATGCTTCTTGCATTGTTAATTTTTGAAAACGTGCCTAGTCTAAATAACTCCTGTGTTGGAATAGTATTTATAATGGCTGAGTAGTAACGATTTGTGTCATCGGCATGAGTATGCATTTGAAACTCATTTAGTAGACTCTTGGAATCAGCAGTATAAAGTATGAAGATTAGTGGAGACAGAACTGACCCTTGTGGAGCGCCGTGCCAAACATTCATATATCTCGATTTCTTATCATTCACTTGTACAGATTGGCTTCTCTTATATAAAGATGAGTTGATAAAATTTCTAGAATTATCAGAAAAACCGTAGTAGCGTGATTTGGCAATTGAGAGTTTGTGGTTCATGATGTCCAAAGCTATAATCTAGGGTTCCTGAATATACTTGACACTGCTGTTTTAACGTTTTTTGTATATCAGGGTTTGGACGATATAAAGAGCACTGACAATAAGACATAATCACAAATTGATTGATGGAAAAAGCGGGAACTGACAGTACACGGACGTACATAACATAAATTTCAAAGATTTGACAAATTGAGAGAATTAGGAGACAGATGCAAGTTTGTACAGCTTTCAACTATGAGAACACGGGAAATCAAGTCACTCTATTCGAATTTCCATCGGGTAACGTAATTCTATGAAAATGGAAACGAAATATGATGCGGCCAGCATGGAATATAGTTTCAGGCCACAAAATTTGCGAGGTATTCAAATTTCTTGGTAGGATATAGCAGAACTTTTTCAACGCATTTTCATCAGGTGCACTTCAGAACGGAAGATTTGATGTTGGGAAAAAGAGCCGAACCCACAATTTAAAAACTGAGCGAGTATCGAAAAGAACCTTATTCCAATTTGAAACCAACAAGAAACGAAAAACTTGCATATAATGAAATTCATTTTGAACATATTATTTTGGAAGCAAAAGACTTGATAATCGAATTCTTAGAGCAGGAATATTCAAAAATCCAAGGTTTACGAGTGAAAGAAAGTGAGGAATTCAGGAAACAAATAGAAGAAGAAAATAGAGAGTTGGAAAATGAGTTGAAGCAAAAAGATTTAGATACAAAACTCAGAGTTAGCAAATTCAGAACAATAACCTAAAAATTATTTCAGATTTGAAACAAAATCAGCAAATATCTTCAGAGAAATACAAAAACATTCAACAAGCAAACATACAGGCAATTGTGAGCAAAATTCAAAGTTTTGATGAACAATACTTTAACAAACTTTTGCTTTTGAAAAACCGAATGGGAGATTTGAATAACAAATTGGATAATATTAGTAGAAATGTTGCTTTATATTGCATGATTCATCTCAAAGTTCGAAATTTAATGGTGACAGGTGGGATGCAAAAAGTTTGTAAAGAGCGTTGGTGATCAAATTCACGTATGTGGTTCATCTGGTTACGAAATGTATTGAATATACGATACGAATTACCATCCCTGCGAATATATATGTACAGTCGCATTAAAAAAAGCGTACAAGTATATTAGAGAGAGAAATTAACGTCATCATATTCTGCATAAAACGGGCTATCGGGTATGATTGTTCACCAAATGTTGACAGTAAAGTTGTCATAGGTTCTCGAAAACACAAAGCATTGGCTGAGCCAGTTTTACACAACTAGAACTAGGATCCCGAAATCCTCTTTTTAATACTTGTACGATTTTTTATTGAATACGACTATGTACATACCTACTTGATATCGACTTCCATTGGTGTCCTTCAGCCTTATCATTCAATATTTCGAGAAGAAATAATTTTCTAATCAATTTATCATACCGTTTTACCCACTCGAGGAGACGCTAAGCACTCTCATACAAAAATCAAAGACAGAGAAATATATATAGATGTACTCTTCCCAGGACTTGTGGAGAAAGGAAGATACAAGGATCCTTTATCGAAGCGAAAAACATATTTTTGTCATTGTCTGGCAAAACATATGATTCGCTTCAAAATCGTGTGTGGTTATGTTTGATTGTCACTATGCTCTAGTGTCCGTACTCTAATATACAAAAAATGGTCAAAACAGCAGTGTCAAGTACATTTAGGAACTCTACTATAATTTAATGACAGGAAAATGGTAACTTCATGTTTGTCAGTAGCACGGACAATAACATCCGTCATTTTTGGTAGGGCACAGGTGGTGCTGTGTGCTTGTCAAAAACCTGACTGATGTGTTGGCAAAATGTCATTGACATTCACATATTCGAACATTTCTTAATGTTTTTTTCGCAATTTTTCCCCAGGTACGTTCGATCAGAGCTACATCCCGCACGCCATCGCGTACAGCGCATGCCTGGGAGAGCACCGCCTCCGGTGCCAAGGCCTGGAGAACTACACCGTCCTGCCGCCGCCGGCGCCGGCCGCCCCTGACAGCTGCGCGCCGGCGGGAGGGTCCGGCGCCGGACAGCCCGTCGTCGTCGCCAGCAGCGTTATGGCGGACGACGTCCATCGAGGGAAGACGTCGGCGGCGTCGTTATCGAGGCCGGTTGAGATCGTCGGTGTGGTGGTTGTGGTTTTTTTCGTTTGTTATGGAAAATGATACTTTCATTCGTTAGGACTTTGATGTAAATAAATAAATTGTAAGAATATAATTGACAAGATATATGTGTGAGTTTTCTTTTTCATGACACGAGTCAGCAGTTTAGCATGAAATAAAATTGCTACTTCAATATTTCTTCAACAAACGTCAAAAAATCGAGAGGTTCGCGCATTGATAACCAACTTTTCAGATTCCTACGTTACCATGATACCTTGCACAAAACAATGCGCGAAGTAAAACAGTGCGCGAAGTACCTACTTGCGCGCACTGTTATGTAAAATATATGAGATATTTATATTTCAACCTTATGGTCCTCAATCGAGCAACATCCACGAAATCATTTATTACTCAATGTTCAACAATGGCTTTGTTTTATCTCTTGGAGCGCACGAGAGGAAATTCCTAGTATGTTCGTGGAACATCGTGCGTACCTAGGGAGGTTAGGGGAAGGCCTTTCAAGCCAGTTCAACACTATTTTTTATATCAAGCTGAGCATATTTCTACTTAAGAACTATGTTTTTTGACGTTTGTAGAAAAAATTTCGTTTGCAACTCGAGCGCGAAATACTTTGGTCATCTCGACTATTTTCTTAACTCGGCTACGCCTCGTTGAAAAATCAGATCTCGGTCACCAAAGTAGCGTTTCGCGCTGTAGATACAAAAATAACTATTCGTTTGCATGGCAAGATCTGAGTTATCAGTAACCCAGTAAACAAGAGGACCACAGTCATAATTTTGAAATATCAAATGGAATTGTGAAAATATCTAAAGTCTGAAGTGCACAATTATATTCAGCCTGAAAATATCTCAACTCTGAGCTCAAGAAGTCAGCACATCGATTATTCATGTAGTTGACTCAAGTATTCAAGGATAATTTGAGGAAATGAGAGGTTGACCAACTTATATATTACTTCTTTATTGAACCTCATTATCTCCAACTAACAAAATGTGGAAATAAAATGAAACATTCACGAAAACCTGGTCGATGAAACAAGAACAGAAGAAGGAGGTACCTTGTCAAATTCGAATTTTTCTTTTTCTCCTTATAAAAGTGCACACTGATGTTGAGTTTACTGAAGAAGCTATCACTATCAATGCAGAAGTTTCCCTAGAAACTTCAAAATTTTCGAAATTGAATTGTTTTCCTAAACTTCATGTATGCCATCTATTTCCATTAAATTTTCGATTCGATAATATCGTGGTCATATAAATAGCATCTTTACAACTAATATCTTCCAATCTGTCTTCACATCTGTCATTCGTTTCATTCTTAATTGCAAAAGATTTCATGATTCCGTTGATCAGATCTGTAAATTTTGATCAAAATGCTAGGCACTTACATTTTCACTGCATTCTACTGAAGATATGTATGTTGATCTCGTTCAAAATCTACACTTATAATATGAAGGGGGAAGATTTGATTATTAGTTTGTATTGAATAGGCTCCAAAACTTCGTCTGTACTGATTGAAAAAATTGATGAACATTGGCTTCTTTTTACCGCGTTGAAATGTTTCATTACTATGGAATAACGGGCATTGAGAATTATCCTTCCGTACTTATCTTTTTCACATAACTTCTACACGGCTGATCCGATTGGGTTAAGTATTTTCGATGGATTCCTAGATGATTTTAAAATATAATTGGATGCGGAAGGTGGCGCTGCTGTCGGTATGTCAACAACTAATAAATGTCTTGACCAATTGATGGGTTTAAATTTTTGAAATGTTGACAACAAAAAGACCCTAAAGATACTGAAAGAATGAGAATTGGTGTAAATATAAGTGAGCACGAAAAAATTGAGAGGAAACAGAAAAATATGTAATGCAGATACGCGCATAGCTCAGAACGACTGCAATTAACAGATAATGTCCTATTTTCTTACATGGGTACAACAAACCGTGCGAAGCCAGACTGGACAGCTAGTTCAAGATAACTTGAGTAAACCGGTGGTGTCAGGGCCTGGACATCAAACATCAACTTTATACTGTCTGTTGGTTAATCGAGGAGGTGGTGAATTCATATTATGACAGATTTTTTTGGGATTTTCTGTGCTCGTCTCTATGAAATGAAAATATGAATACTATTTCGATATAATTGTAGTGAGGAAGATTTGCCTCAAAGTGCAACTGCGTTTGAAGAATTTTTCAGAGAGCCTAAAGGAAAAATTCACTACCTTGTCAGTGACAATTTGTATATTGAGAAAGGTTTGGAGAAGAGAAATGAAGGTATATAGAAAAAATATCGAATTATCACCCATACTTGGACGTTTCGTTAACGAATCTGTTACCGTATTCAACATAAAAAAATTTTTTTTTTTATTGCAAATTCGTATTTGTCTTGACACTTCTCCAGTTCTCAGTGACAACTGATGACGTTGGTGATCAAATGAGTTTCAGGATTACTATATCAACTGAATAGGAAGCAATGCTATTGTCTCCGTTCAGAAGAATGCAAGCAGATTCCTCGATTTTTCTCTTCGGAAGCGTAAAGGCCGACGACGTCCAGAGCATCGATGGAGACGTCTAAATTGAGGCTAGTTGAGATCCTTGGTGTCGTGTGTTTTTTTTTTGTTTGATATAGAATGTGACTTTTGAGAAGATGAAGTTGATGTAAATGAATTGATTGTAAGTGTATTTTTTTCATGATACGAGTCAGCAGTTTGGCATTGAATTAAAATTTCTGGGAATAAGTCAAAAGTATATTACGTAATAATAATAATAATAATAATAATAATAATAATTAACGTCTTTATTACTCACATCACATCACATCTCACATCAGTATATGAAAAAAGAAAAAAAACAATTGAAATGAGTAAAAGGCGAAGTTCAATTAGGTTGAGATGATGAATCACCACTAAATTGTTCTTCCACTTAACCTTCTATATGGTCTCTTATTCCGCATTATTTCAAATATAGATGTCTGCATGATCGAGTTTGCTACCTGAGATTGAAAATAGTACTTTTAAGAATTTAATATGAAATTAAGAGAGGGAAATACATGATACGTGATATGGAGCCGATATTCAAGATTTTCATGGTATCAATTTGTTACACTGAAGCTGAAATAAATATTTTTTTGTAGGTGCTTCTAATTTTGTGAAGACCTTCATTTTTTATTGATTGTGGTAAAGAGTTGTAGACTTTACAAATTTGGTAAGAGAATGACCGCTTGAAGAATTCTGTTCTGAAATGGGGGAAACGTACCTTTGTATCGTATACTTATTCAAATTGTGGATGTCGGACCGAAATCTCAACCTTTTGTGGATGTAAGGAGGTGTTTTGCTGATGAAGATTTGGTGGAAAAGGCAAGCACTGTGTAGAATTCGTCTATGTTCCATATTTAACCAACCAGATTCACGAAGTTTGTAAGTGATTCTTTGCCTTCTGCGTATACCATATATAAGTCTCCAACAAGAGTTTTGAACTTCTCGAATTCTCTTTTTATACTGATTGGTTAAATTGGGGCCATATAGAGTGTCGGCATAGTTGGATACTGATAATATCGAGGTTTCACATAGGGTAGATTTGATGAAAGGAGATGCCTACTGCCATAAATTAACTTTATTGCGAAATAAGCCTTTTGTATTGATTTGTTCACGTCTTTTTCAAACCTCAAATCAGTGTCAATCAGAACACCTAGATTTCTAGCTAAATTTACCTTTACAAGAGCCTCATCATTGATTAGGATACCAATTTCAATGTTAATATCCCTATTCATTCTCGGACCAGAGACCATCAAATTAGATTTTGAAGTATTTATCAGGAGACAGTGATCAGATGCGAGCTTGACGAAAGCATTCAGGTCTGCATTGATCAGAGTGGATGTATCTTGAGATTCATCCAGTGGAAATTTGAAATAAATTTGCGTGTCATCCGCATAAAGATGAACAGAACAGTTATGAAGAGATTGAACTAAACCTGAGGTGAATATGATAAAGAGTAAAGGGCATAAAATGGATCCTTGAGGTACACCTGAAAACAATTCAAGATATTGTGACTCATTATCTTCTATGCGTGCTTTTTGATATCTGTTTTTCAAATATTCTCCCATTAATGCAATAGCTTTGTCACAGAGCCCGATATAATGTAGAATTGCTATAAGCAAATTGAAATTGATTGTGTCAAAAGCACGACTGAAGTCTAGGAGAACTAAAGCAGTACAAAGGCCTTCTTCTTTAGCTCTAAATATTTCATCAATTACGTGTAATAGTGCAGTTGTGCAACTGTACCCCCTTCTGATTCCTGACTGAACTTCTGGTAGTAGTGAGTGATTTGTAATATGATCCCTCAGTTGTGACCCGATAGCTCTTTCCAAGACTTTAGAAAGGGTCGGAAGAATACTCGAAGCACGTAGATCTTTATATTCTACGGGATTAGTCTTCTTGGGCAAAACCATGACAACTGCCCTCTTCCACAAATCTGGTACCACATTGTTGCATAAACAAAAGTTGATTATGTGCGTGATGTATGTGATTATAAATGGACAACACATCTTGATAAGTCTTAAATTCATACCATCGCAGCCCTGTGCATTGGTCTTAATGCTACATAGAGCCTCATATATGAAATTTACTTCCTGAAATTCAAAGGATGAGTCAACACGGGTATTAATTAATATGTTTTGTAATTAAGAAGCATATCACGCACGAATTCCATTCGTTCAATAGCAAAATATATCATGATTTTGTTCATCAAATCTTTGAATTTTACTCAAATTTGCCAGGCTTCTTGCACTTTCAGTTTTATTGCATCCTTCTGAAGATATAATTATGTTGATTTCGTTCAGAATTTGAAATAACTTGGGTAATCTGGTGCCAGGGACTCGAGGACTTTACACCGTCCTACCACGGCCGGCGCCGGATGCATCCCCGGTGGGGAGGCCGGCGCCGAACAGCTCTTCGTCTCCAGCAGCGCCATGGCCGACGACGTCAATCGAGGGAAGACGTCTGCGGCGGCGTTATCTAGGAAGGTTAAAATTGTTGGCGTAGTGGTGGTTTTTTCGACGAATTCGATGTGAATGGATACATTGTAAGGATAAAATCAAGAAGATAGTGGGTATGATTTTTTCAGGATACGAGTCAGCAGTTTGGCATTGAAATGACAATTATGGGATTAGGTAAATATTTCAAGTTGCATAGCAGAGTCTGGAGTTATAAGTTACTCCATTGTCGTTCTAGATGACAACCTAGTTAGGTAATTAGTAGGCAGGAGCTTATTATACCTCCTCGCATTAGGTCGCCTACTAGGTTTTCATTTAGATCGACAATGGTAACACAGAAAACAAAACGCACATAGTCAGAATTCCGGAATATTAACTGGAATTGTGGAAATATCACAAGTCTGAACATAAATGCACAATGTAATTCAATTAATTCATTCAATTAACTCAATGCTTGATACGTTGAATCTTGTGTGTTCAATACATAGGTTCGTGCGTAGTTGACTTAAAGAATTAAGGATAATTTAAGAAAATAAGCAGTCGACCAACTTTTATCTCTCTTATTGAATCACACGAAAATGCTTGTGAAAACTAAAACAGAAGGAAAAGGAACCTCATTAAACTCGAACTTTATTTTTTTCTCCTCATCAAAGGCCACACTGATGTTAGGGCTAATGAAGAGGCTTTCGCTAGCAAGTCAGAAGTTTTCTCAGAAAACTCAATTTTTTCCAAAAATGAACCACACATGAATAGTTTCTTCAAACTTTTTGAGGCGAATTTGGAGAAGAACGTGAACATGTTTCACATGGGAGAAAAGAAGATTCAAGATTAATTCTTGTGCCTAGTAAAACAAATAATTATTATCAAAACAGTGGCCATATAATAAGAAACAAACACACTTTCGATGACAATTTCGAACTATTTCCACTTAGAATTCTGAAATATAATTTCAAAATAAATCTGGTGCGGATCTCGATACCTATAGTTATCATTGAAATGTACTGTATATTTCATTATCAATGTATGTTCAATCATTTCAAGGGTGACATAACTCAATTTGTGACTGTTTATTATTGTTTTTATCAGTGTATCATTTCGCGAGCACATTTTCCCACGTTGGAGCTTAATTAACCTTATCAACGACTGAATTTATCTGCCAGGTAAAATAATTTAATATCTTATCAGCTCAGCTGGTTGCGTTTCACGGATTACTGCACATTTGGTGAACACTTCTGTCAGTGTTTTGTGAATAATTCATTATCCAGAAAAACGGTAAGTTTTATATTTCAATATATTAATCAGACTCGACGCTTTCACTACCATACAAAGGTGTTGGCGATCACAGTATTTTTGTGCTGGAATAACTTTTGAAATGACTTTCTTCCTACTGACACTATAAAATGATTAGTTAATATGTTGCTAGGCAATAATAGTGTAGTGTCTAGCAGCTAGAGTCGAAGTTTAACTCTTAGGAAATAAAGCCGAATCAGCTGACTACTGATATGATGTTGCTGACGCTAATATCAATATGGTTGCAGACAGAAATGGCAAATTTGAAATACCTACTCGGTTTATTATCGCTTGTCAAATAAAGTGTCTCTCTAGAATAATGTACGATGTTTGAAAATTCTCTAATGATAAACTGACTAAAATTTCTGTATGTTCCACTTCGCGTGACCTGAAATATTTCCCAACTGGTGATGAAAAGTTAGTTTTCCTACTACTGCTACGAAAAGTATCGCATTTCTCATAGCTCACCTAGTTCCAAAACCATGAATTGCTCATACTGTGAGACATATTTTTTCCTACGAGCGTGCGCAAAGTAGTACTTCTCCGCACTCATTTGCGTGCGCAAAGTGATACTTTTTCGCACTCAGTGTGGATATGTGTGTTATCCGCACGGCGTGCGAATAAGTGAAACTACCCAATGATCTCACTGGTATGGAACATTCATATTCATTTTAGTTGCTGTAGACTATTTTATGCACTATAAGAAGCCGTTATACCTTTTACTTTCCAACCGTTCTTCCCGATATTTGTATTTCACCTCAATATAAATATTAGGAACAAATGATTCAATTTTCTATCATTATATTTTATCGATTTGTAATTGTTTGTTGTTCAGCTATTTCTATCAAGTTTAACTAAAAATTATTCAATAAATTGTAATTTAAGTTGAAATTTTTTTATTTCCGTTCTCATCTGATATGGAGCTCGTAATGAAAATGTGATTTTCTATTATTATATTTCATTGTTATATGTGATTGTTTTATAGTTATAGTTTTCAATGAGTTATAATTTTTTTTTATTCTCCTCTTCATCTGATATGAAACTCGTAGGAAAAAAATTGTTCCTAACACGTGCGCTAAGTGTCTTTTCCGCACGCAAAAACTTATTCGAACTCCGCTCCGCTTCGTTCGCCTAACTGTATTTACGTGCGGAAAAGTAACACTTTGCGCACTTGTTAGGAAAATAACTATTTCTCACGGCACTTTGCAGAATAAACAAAAATCAACCAAAACTCGATTGGCTGGTGTTCAGCTTTGAATAGTTTTCACAACTGTCAGAAGAAGTTCTTTGAATTCTTTAGGGTAGTTCCCATTAGTGCTTTTGATAGAAATCGCAGTTTCCATCAAATATTATTCCAACAATTGATGAAATTGACAGAATATGATGTATATACCGAGATGTGACGATTTTGATAAATACACCGCCAGAGTCAGAGATAATGGAAAAACAGCGATAATTGGATTTGTTTTCGGAAATCTCAAGAATAAGTATGAATTGGCATATACGAGAAATTTATGAAATCTGAAAAAAAAACAGAAATAAAATCTTTTTTGGGAAGTGTACTTTTTGAAATACTCTGAGGAAGTTGGAGAGGTATCTACTCTTTGGTCACAATATTCAATAGAGCCGCAAATGGAATACCAATAAGCTACATTACTTGGATTCTTCGGATAAGTGCAGTTGTAGAAAAAGTATGGTGTGTCAAATGTGGAGAAAAGTACTTTTTTCTCCGATTGGCAGCAACTATTAATTTTGCTGACACATATCAATCAGCAAAATATCACTTTTCCTGACTAGGCAGCAAGGTGGTTACTTTGCTGATTGATATGTATCAGCAAAATTAATAATCCATAAATCGTTTATAAATTCCCTCATATTTCATTCGAGACTTCTACGGCAACAAATTCAACTCTATATTTTTTGCCACCTCCCCTATTTCTGGAGGTGTAAGTACTTCCAGATCGCTATCACTGTCCATTATATAAAAATTTAAATATACCGATATTTTTTCGCACAACTGTCAGAATTTTCATGAATTGTCAAACTATAATTATCATGGATGTTATGATATCATTCTGTATATGAGTTACCGGGGAGATTGGTTGTTAGAGATAGTGATCAGATTTGACATTATAATGTTGTCACTGAATATATAAAATATATCTTCGAGTAACGAGTTCATATTTAATTATTGTGATCAACTCACAACATGGCGCAGTCGTGAAAAGAATCTACGTAAATTAGAGAAAGTACCTCACATTGAAGCAATGGAATTTTTGAAACAACCGGCGTCAATGAGTTTGTGTGGGGACTTGGGATCAAACTGGAGGAAGTTCAAGAGCAATTTCAATCTGTACTCAGTAGCAACAGGGTGTAAAGAAAAACCGAAAGAAGTTCAGGCAGCAGTTCTATTACATTGTTTAGGAGAAGAGGCCAATGAAGTTTTGGAGACATTAGATTTGACAGCTGATGAGAAAGTTGATCCAGATACGATAATAAAACGATTGGATGTTCATTTTTTACCAAAATCTAATCCTAGTGTGGAAACTCATAAGTTCACTTCAAGAAATCAACTTTATGGTGAATCCTTCGAAAACTACTTGGCGGAACTGAAGAAAATATCGAGAAATTGTGAGTTTGGTATATTCAGAGATAGACTCATAAAAGACAGAATAGTAAGTGGTATCAGAGATCAAAAAGTGAAGGATCGCTTGTTGCGTGAAACGAATTTGGATTTGACAAAGACTATTGAAATTTGTCGTTTAGCAGAGCAAACTGAACAATACATTAAGGACATGACAGATAAAACAGAAAATCTTGAAGTTAGTGAAATACATAACAAACAACATAGATTTACCAATGTAAATGAAAATAGAATCTATGATAGAAGAAGGCCAGAAGAAAAAATGAAAACACAGAAAAATATCACATCAGGCGAATATAGAAGACAGCTGAATAATAATGAACGGGAGCTAGCAACCAGTTCGTCGAGTCAAAAACAGGACGTATACAATAGAAATACAAGAACCAGTGAGGGAGGATTTTATAAAGAAGATTTTTTTCAATCTAACTGTGGCAGATGTGGATTCAAGCATCATTATCGTAAATGTCCAGCAATTGGCAAACAATGTAGGAGATGTTCTAGATTTAATCACTTTACTCATTTGTGTAGAAATAATTTTCATCCTGGTGTAAATGGTATTACTGAAGATGAACACTATAGCGATAATGAATATGTTTTAGGATCACTTCAGATTTTTATGATGGAAAACTCAAAAAATGATTGGTTTGAAACACTTTATATTCCAGAATGTGGCAGGTTTCTGAAATTCAAGCTTGACACGGGAGCTCATGTTAATGTCATACCAGAAAATATTTGGACAATTTTGAAAATAGGTTCACTAAAAAAAATTCAACTGAATATTACGAATTATGGTGGTCAAACTTTGGATGTTGTTGGTTCCTATAACTTGCAAGTTATTTACAATGGTAAGAAATATTTTCTTGATTTTATTATTCTGAAAACCAACGGAAATTCACCCCCTGTTCTGGGTATTCAAAGTCTACAAGAACTAGATTTAATACGACGAAATATATTTCAAATCCAAAATAATGATGATTTCACTAAAAATCGAGTATTGTTCGATGGCATTGGTAAAATTTCTAGTAGTCCGGTGAATTTTAAGTTAAAACGTGATTACCAACCAACAGTTGTACCGTGTCGAAGAGTACCATTCCATCTTATGGATAAACTCAAAGCTGAACTGGATAGAATGATATCTGATGATATAATCACTACAGTAAAGAAACCAACCGAATTTGTTAATCCAATAGTAATTGTCAAGAAGCCAGACAATAGTATTCGCATTTGCCTAGACCCACAAAATTTGAATGATTCATTGTTGAGAGAATATTATGAAATACCTACTTTCGATGAAATTACACGAGATATGTGTGGTGCAAAAATATTTTCAACCCTTGATGCCAACAAAGGGTTTTGGCAAATCGTATTAACAGAGGAAGCTTCTGAGCTGACCACATTTGCAACACCTTTTGGTCGGTTCATGTTTTTACGTCTGCCGTATGGTGTATGTAATGCTCCAGAAATTTTTCACAGAACATTTACGGAAATTTTTGGTGGCATCAAGGGAGTTAAAGTATATATTGACGATATTATAATTTATGCAAAAACCTTGAAGGAACATGATGAAATTCTGCAAAAAGTTTTTTTTAGAGCAAAAGAAATGGGTGTAAAATTCAATAAAAAAAAATGTAGGTTCAGAGTCAATGAAGTCAAGTATGTAGGACACATTTTAACAGATGAAGGTATTAAAATTGATAACGATAAAATTGAAGCAATCAAACAAATAGATATTCCAAAGAACACTAAGGAATTAAGCAGGTTTTTAGGAATGATTACATATGTTGCCAAATTTGTTCCAAATTTATCTAAACTCACATCAAATCTGAGGGCATTGATGAAAAAGGATGTTGTATGGGAGTGGAATGACATCCATCAGAAAAGTTTTGAGAATTTAAAAACCTTATTGATGACAAGACCCATACTACAATATTATGATGAGAATAAACCGATTGTTTTGTCAGTTGACAGTTCAAAAGATGGGCTAGGGGCAGTAATTCTTCAAAATGGAATGCCTGTTGCATATGCTTCAAAGAGTTTAACAGAAACGCAACAAAATTACGCACAGATTGAGAAAGAGATGTTGGGAATTGTTTTCGGATGTCAAAGATTCCACCAATTTCTTTATGGTAAGTCGTTTCTTGTGGAAACAGATCACAAGCCACTTGAGGCTATTTTCCAAAAACCACTGAACAAATGTCCTATGCGTTTACAAAGACTAAGAATTACTCTACAAAATTATGATTTTAAAGTTAGATATAAACCAGGTGCATTATTGTATTTTGCAGACACTTTATCGCGTGCTTATCATGATGACAAAAATTTCGATATAATTGAAAAT